TTGCGACACAGACAGGTCGACTGGAATACCATGACTCCAGGCGGCAGAGGATGGGGCAGAAGGTATCTATTAATGCAACGAGGAGAAGAGCGAGACCTTGCCAGACGAAGAGAGTTGTCACTGGCCGTCCACATGCTGTTTAATATCAGTTAGTTGCTTTAGTTCGTCGACATCCTTGTCGGTAGTGAACCCCAACGTTATCTATGAAAGAGTAAGTCTCATTTCCTCCGCTAAGCAGTAATCCTTTGATCCCTTGGTTTTCTTGTTGGGGTTCTTCCGAGGCTCCTAACTTTAGTACGTAGTTACATATGGATAGTGAACGTGAGTCCGAGTCAAAAGGCAGACCAGATAAAGTGATCATGAGGGCGCGTGCGATCGACTGTGGGGTAAGTAGGCTAGATACGGAGTCCTCCGGAGCTACTCGTGGATTAGATATTATGCTCCGCTTGCAATCATCATACTGCCAATCGGTTGGGTTAGTACCATAGCACCACTGTTTCATCTACGGAGTAATTTCGAACTGTTCACTATAATAATTAAAAGTGTGGTGGCATCCCAGACCTAGGTAGACTAGCCTAAGGAGAATATATCCTGGATGCTGGCTATACTATCTACATGAACACGTCTCGTGTATCTTCATCCGCCCATAAAAGATCCGAGGAATTATTATCAACTGGCAACTGAAGATGGATCGATTCCAGTTACTGTTGCACGAGTCCTGTACCCATCAGATAGAGGACTTGCTTCGCTCGGGTCAACTTGAGACACCTATTCTGTGTGCATACCTCCAGTTGTGTTCGACGTACTCCGTAGCCGAGGAGATCACCTCAGATGCGCCATCATCTTGGGATTTATGATTGTGCAGAAGACCAAGTCTAATTCTTCAAAGTTCAGACCACCATAGGCAATTCGAAGATCATTTTGATGATTGATATCGAATAATGTGGATCTGATCCTTCTCGGGATAAGCAAGCCTTCCTGCGCCTAAGCAAAAGACGAGATCATTGGCTAGATACATCCTACTCCGATAAGTCTGGATTTCAGGGGGAACATCCGGGGCTGAACCAGGGGTTCGTTTAAGGAACCATATTTTCATGGGATCACAGTGTCAAGTCACAAGTGAATATTTATTATCTAGTCCTATAAGAAGGAGATCGATCAGGTATAGAAGATCATCTCATGCATTCCACAAGTCTAATAGTTAGTGATCCAGAATGTGAGAAGTCTTTGCTGATTCCATTTCTTTGTTACCTATCTAAGCACCTCCTAAGGAGCCAAAGTGCCGAAAAAACAGCAGAGCATATATGCATGTAGTTACTACCAGTCATATCACTTCTCCTAGGACATAGATATCTCATGCAACTGTTATTGTATTCTCAATCATATCAAAATTATTTTGATGAATGATGTTCTTTTGAATGTTGATCCATCATATTATGGCGTGTTGGCCTGCCCTTCAGGTAGCCTCCTCATCCTCCTCTTCTAAGTTAGAATTTAGACTTGCTGATCTTCTTCTGCTCTTCAATCCCCCCAAAGTCATTTTTTCCTCCCACCTTATCCACTCCAGTGTCCCTCTGAATAACTTGCCATTACTCTGTTATATCTCTTTTCACACAAATCGCCATTCATTGACCTCAGTTGACGTGGAAGAAGCTGCTGCTTTATGATAATGAACCCTGTTCGGTGACGGCTCGTCCCTGAGACAATTCTCCACACCAATCTATTGCCGCATTCCACCGCGCGTTTCATCGAGATATTTCCTCTCTAGAAGTCGAGATGAACGATCACGATCGCTTTAGCCAGTCATCCTATGGCGACCCGAGATACCTGTCGTCCGCCTCCTTTGAGGCCCCTCCGGCCCCTCCAGCCAAGGTTCTCATGGACGGCTACCGCGAGGCCTTCGAGCCCCAATATGCGGAGAAATTGCGATACAATCCAGTGCGTTGAAGCCTCACTCGGTTTCTCCCTCATATTGAACCATGCTTTTAACACAGCTATTCTTATAGCTCAATCCGAGCCAGCCACGAAGTCCAGCTTTACTGAACGCCAACGACCCCGTCGCCATGTACCTACTCACCGAAACCGCTATGGGGGACAGCATGAATTATGAGATAATGTCTTTGGAGGAAGTTGAGGCTCTGAAGAAAGATTACTCCTTTCTGTCTAGTCGCCTTAACGCAGCCAAACGGAAATTAGCCCTGGAAATGAAACTGCGCGACGCGGCTCTGTCGCTTAGCAGATTAAACAACTCAACAAACCGTAGGGCTAGCGAAGAATACGACGCAGGGATCTCGCCGAAGTCTCGTCCCAGTCACGGAAATGGGTTCGGCGCTACGGACTCTTCGGACAAAACGGACGAGGAACTGGCGGAGAGCACGCGAAAGTGCGAGGAGCTAGCTAATGAAATCTGGAACTTGGAACGCAAGGCGCAGCACGTACGCCAAAGGTTGTTGGAACATACAGCCGGTGTTCTACAGATGACGCATAAGGGGTTGAAGAAGAACCTGAGGAATGTTCCACATACACCGGAGAGCCTCTCTAGCCACAACACCCGCGGCAGTATCGACGACTTTGACGACAGAAGCTTGTACAAGACGTCAGACAATCTTGATGGACCAGCTGGGTCCGGTAGCCAAGAGATGATTGGGCTTGAAGTTATCGGTAATACCGAAAGAAGGCTGGAAGCTTTGAGTGAGAACCTGCGCGACATGGTTTTAAGGCTGCAACCTGAGAGCGACTATGATGCGATTCCCCGAACTTCGGTTGATGCGACATCGATAAATCCCACAGCGACAGTCGAAGCGCTCCTCGCTTACATTGAGCGTGGTTTTAATATAATTGCTGCAAAATCAGCTGAGACACCGCGCGCCTTAGAGTCGGATCACGGTACAGAGAACCATTTAGTGGAAATCAACGCCCGACTACACCACATCGTGGGGCAATCTGGATTGTCTCGCTCACAGGCTCTTTCTCCTCCCCCGACGTCGTCAGGGAATGGCCTACACGCACATTTTGATTACCTGAATCTTGGTATTGATGACCTTCATAGCCAGATTGAGAAGCTCCTCGAACAGAAGAGCATCTTAACGACTCAAATTCAGCAACAGCGGGAATTAAACTCCAAATCGGATGCGGAACGAGATGCACACATAGCCGATCTGGTCGAGCAGATCGCTCATCTCCGGAAAGACCTCGAGCTGTCTGAGCAGGGTGCTCAGACTGCAAAGGATGAGCTCGATCTGGCAATCACGCAACTCGAAGCTCTACGTCAGGAACACAATGACCTTCAACAACACAAGAGCGTCGCCGAAGATCACGCAAGCGCTTTGGCATCCGAAAAAGAAGCTCGAGTGCATGCGGAGGCGGAACTGTCGCGCTTACAAACTGTCATCCAGGAACTTAAGCAGGGGATGGACGCGCAGACGGAAGCTGATGAAGCCCGTGTGCGGGCAGAGCACGAGGTCGCTCGTCTGGAATCCCATCTCGAACAGCTTCGATCCGAAAGCGCCTCTCAAACAGAGGAACTCACTGCCGCTCGCTTGAAGGCAGACAGTGAAGTCACACGTCTGCAGAGTGTGGTTGATCAACTTCGTCAGGAGGCAAACGCTAGAGCTGAGGAAGCTGTCGAGGCCCGTGACCGAGCCGAACAACAAGTACTGCAGCTGGAGCAGACGATGCAGCAAGTTCGCAACGATGCTGATGCACGGATCAAGGAAGCCTTAGATTCTCGTGTCGCGGCAGAAGAGAGTGCGACTCGGTTGCAGGCTGAATTGAGTGAAATGGCCAGCGAGGTTTCTCGGCTGCAAGACGCTATGGAAAAGCTTCACGCTGACATGGAGTCGCGGCTCAGAGAAGCAGCTGAGGGACGCACAAACGCAGAACAGAGCGCGAGTCGTCTGCAGGCTGAGTTGACAGAAATGGAAGGCGAAGTGGTCAGGGTACAAACGGAACTGACAATGGCCAAAGCGGAGCTCGATGGTGCGTACGGTAGCAGAGCCCAACGAGCAGCAGAGGTGGCCGCCAATCCAGCTATCCAAAAGGAACTTGATGACTTGAACACCAGGAATCTTGAGCTTGCGGAGGAGCTCGCAGCCCTCAAAGCCGGAAAGCCTGGTAGCAGCGATCTGCAGCAGCGAGTGCAGATGCTGGAAAGGGAACTCCGGGAAACTATTGACGATTATGAAATCATGACCAAGGCCAGCATCGAGTTCGAGAAAGAACGTGAGAGGTACGAAGGCATGATTGACGGTCTACGTGACCGCTGCGAACAACTGGAGACGCAGCTCAACGAGGAGCGAATCAATTGGATGGGTATCAACAACGCAGTGGGACGAGATGGCACGTATGAGACCACTTCTATAATGGTCCTGAAAAATGAATTCAAGAAAATGATGCGTGACACTCGCATTGAGAACATGAAGATCCTCAAGGTTAGTTACAATGTCGTGGCCTTCCGTTGCCATTATTCCAGGCTAACCTATCTGTGCAGGCGGAACAAGAAGAACGAAGACGATTAGAGACTCAGATTCGGAATCTGAAGAAAGACCAAGCAGCAAGCACTGGCAAGTCGAGTCTCAGCCACAGCGTCACGGCTTTATGATCATGATATCCTATAGACTTTTTTTTATTTTATTTTCGGTTACCCCAGCTTTGATGTGGACTATCGATCAGTACAGCCAATACTTTCAATGTGCATATTATTCTCTAATTCCCTCCATGTACTATTTCGGAACTCTGCCCATTTGTGTCTATATTTGTCTGCGCACATATAATAACGAAGCTGACAATGTATCATCAATCGCCTTGCTTGATATCACTTTCCGTTTTTGTCCTGCCTTGTGATGAAGATGCGGAAGGTGCACAGGGCCATAGGGAGGCCTGTTGGCGGACATTACATCCCGCGCTCCCGATCCTCGCACGCACTTGGTACACAGCGTCTTCTGCAACCTTACTGAGCATCTTGTTATTATTTCGTTCATGACTCCTGTCTGTCATTGAACATGTCACCCCGATGTCGTCCTGTCTCCACCGAGTCTATGTCCTCCGATCGACAGTCATTTCTGAATGGACGAAAGACATATCATGGAAATGTCCGACACACGAATACAGGTCTATCTGTGCCAGTGACCAGCGACGAAAGCTCCATCTACAATGCTGCCAGAGCGGGTTCCGTCGACGACAGTTATTCATTGACCCGTAGCACTGATAATCCCATGGACGAAATCTTAGACAGTGGGACGGCACCGAATATGGCCATGTTCATTCCTTTAGCCCATGAAGCACATGCTTCTCACACTCTCTATCTCTCAAAAGAGCAGATGATCAAAGGCCCAGTGTGGGACTCGCATCCATTATCAGACACCTGCGTCGCAGCGACCGCGGGCTGTGACGAGAAAACTGAACTTGTTTTGTCTGACATCTCATTGAAGAAGCACTCTCGCGATAAGTCTCGCCATCGTAAAGTGGCCAGTCTCAATGACCTAGACAACGTTCAACGAGTTCCTAAATGGCCAGGACGTAAAGGGTCGCCAGTGCGTCCTGCTATTCCGCGATTCCCTCCACCATATAGATCACCCACTCCTCCGGGCCTTCCATCTTTCGGAAGTCCTGAAGCGATGTCCTACTCTACCCAGTTCTTCGTTCGGTCCTTTGTTCGCGAGGGACATATCCAACAGAGAACTCCACCAACCACAGGTCCACTCACTTCAAATGGTGGAGGGGTGGCGTCTTATGGGGAAACCTTACGAAGGTTCTTCGGATTCTCTTCACCTGCTCCTCCTCGGCCTACTAGACAGGCGATTCCAGTTGCAAGGGCCGAAGATGGTACGGCAGTGCTAGGACGCTTTCCTTATCGGCATAGCGCCCATGGTACAAGCTTGGTCAGCCGACTCGACGACCATCCTTTCCACAGGAGGGCGCTTCCTGCGACCGATTGTGAGACTGTCGAGGAGGAAAGCGACTCTAACCGTCCGAATGAATATGGTACGAGGTTCGTGAAGTCTACAAGCTTAGCGCAAGTCGAGGCATCAGTGCCGACTTCGCGTCCCGCTGAAGAGACTCGTCGTTTCGATTCCTCCAGTGTCACGCCAGCAATACCTAAACCGACCGTGACTGGTCGATCCCGAAACCCAGGACCTGCTACGGTGTCCCGGACGAAAAACCTCATCCCTAGACAGACTAGCATCTCCCAACCACAGCATGGTCGTACTTCAGTGAGTGGCAATGAGCCCCAGCAACAGAGTTCGGATCGAATTGGCCAGCCTCGTCGGTCCGTCGACATGACTGGAACTGTCCACGCGTCAGCAGACCCTTTATTGCAGTTTCTACAGATCAGGGCGCTTTCTCTCTGCTGTTGTCTCCCAGGCTTCGGCGAACAGGACGACATCATATACGCACAATCTTCGAACGATACGTACACCACTGCAAGAAGCTCGCCTGCCAATGGGATTAACCGTCGGGGTTAGTGCTATCCGTCAAGCGACGTCTACGGACCTAAGCACGCAGAATCTCGGTCTGTCAAATTGGGGCAATCACGCAGTTAGATCCTTCTCTGGACGCTCGGGTTGGCATTGTTACATCACTACAAAACACGGAGAGCCGTGGGACAATCAACCACACCAGAACCTGCTGCTAGTCATAAATTGTACTTGGCTCCCTCTGGTGTTGCATTACGAACAAACCAAGCCTTGTAATTGTATCATTATTTCTTTCATTATGATTGGAAAGAGAACCAATAAAGACATCCAAATGGCTAAGTCATATACCAGGCAACTCCGTTGCTCACATGCAAATATGCTTGGACATAGAAAACGTAAGGGACAATATGCGTGGGCTGTGGTGGGAAGAATATGGAAGTAAGAAAAGGCTTGGAAGGAAAGGCGATGAACCCGAGATGCAAAGGTCCAAAAGGGAAAGACCAAATGTGCCGCAAGTAGCAGAATGATTATCAGGCATAGAGAAGAAAGACTGGCATAGGTGCACAGAAAGTAAAGTGGTCTTGCTGATAAGGACAGAGAAAGAATTATGTGACGAGAAAAGGCCCGAGAGAAAGCGCACTCGAACCGGGAGCGAAGGTCGATAAAAGTCTTAAAGACCGGTAAAGAATTGGCACGCTTCATTGAGTTCTTCGTCGTCGCCCACAAAGTCCCATCCCACGATCCTGGGATCCTGGCTGGCGCAGATGATCTTGCGAGCATCGAACTGCAGTTTGAAGATTCTCGACGTAGGATGGCCGCCCTGCGGGTTCAGAGTTCGGTTCACGCGGACATGGTGGTGGTGCGGCGGTACGGGATTTGGCATGGGCTGCGCGTTCTGCATATGATGTTGGGCCTGGATCAACAATGCCGGATTCGCAGCGTGCCCTAGCTGAGCGTTGGCGTTGCCTGTGTTCCAGGAGTTCCAGAAAGCATTTTGTTGACCAGGCGCAGGATGAGTGATAGGAGCCTGATGATGAATTTGGTTGATGGGGGGAAGATGCTGCGTGGAAGGTGCTTGTCCAGGGGGAGGCACAGCCGCTTGCCCCTGAGGCAAAGGCGGACCCTGATTCTGCGGAACTCGCGGGGTAGGAACCATTGTCCGCGAAGAGGACGGGTGCGCCTGCGAAGCGTTGTCGACGGCGTCGGCCTGCCGTAATCGCTGGCTAATGACCCATCGGCCCTCTTTGTCTTTTTTCCAGATTATGATTGATTCGTCGTATGACCCCGAGACGATCCGACCCCATTGACTGCCACCTCCGCCTGGAGGTATTTTGGCACCCAGGGCCTTGATGTCCCGAGGGTTCCGCGAGCCAGCAGTGTTTTGATGATAGCCGGCGCGCCTGAGGGCACTAGGACCCAAGTCCACCCCTTCACCGGAACGTTGAGCGTCCCAGAACTCATTTTCGATTGCCAGAGCCTCAAGTCTCATGGCTTCCTCGGCGCCCGGTGGATCACCAAAGCCAGCCTGGACGGTTCTTACCAAATTGGCGTGTCCATGTAAACAAGCGACCTCTGCGCCAGAGGCATGATCAAAGATTCGAACTGTATCGTCATTGCTTCCGCTGATAATACGTCGGTTGTCGAATTGCACGCACGCAATGCCTTTTTCATGCCCCGGCAGAGTCTTCTTGCATGCACCGCTGTGGATGTCCCAAATCTTGATGAGACGGTCCCCCGACGCAGAAACAATCTCATCGTCGTTCATCTGTATCGCATTAACCGCTGCCCCGTGTCCATCCAACGTCATCAAAAGAGAGTAAGGCCTCAAGCTTCTGATGTGGTTTTTGGCAAGCTCTGCTTCTAAAACGGGAGATGGAATTGCGCTGGTGTCAATAATATAAGACGGATATGTAACTCCGACTCCTTGACGAACGCTGGGATAATCTTTGTCTAGTGGTGTAAGTGCTCGTCGACTCCAGATCTTGATGAGTTTATCCTTAGAGCACGTAACAAGATAGCGCTCGTCGAATCTGAGGTTCAGGACGGAGTCATCGTGAGCGGACGTGATTTCATGGATTTTCTCACCGGTAGAGAATCGCCAAATTATGACATTTTTGTCGCTACTGCCCGATATTATGACATCTTCCGACGGCCGCGGGTCAAATTGTAGGCATAGGACCGACTTTGTGTGACCGACAAGGGGACGATACCGAAGCCTCTTGGTCTCCAAATCCCAAACGCGAACAGTCCGATCTCGGCTACCGCTGACGAGCCACCTCCCTATAAACTGAATTGCATACACACACTCCAGATGAGCCTCTTCCGGGTGGGCCGGATGCGGGAGTTGGAAGTTAGTGAATCGGCCTTTCGCCCAGTTTTCTTCCAAGCGTCTTCGTTGTTTGTAGAGGTGTGGCCAGTTAATTCGCACAGCGCCATTAGGCATTCGAACCATGATTTGGGACTTTGGGGTAGTGGACAGCGGCTGACCGTTCGATTTGGGTAAATCGACAGCTCGGGAATCAAGTCTGTTACTGGGAGAAAGCGGCGAAGATCTCGAGGCTGCCGACACGGCACGGTCGTTCACAACATCACTCATCTGGTGGTCTCCCTCATTATCCGCTTCCACGGGCGCTCCGAGATCTCGTGCTGGCGCGTCATCCGATACTGTTTCTGTACCACGCAAGTCCAGCCAACCCTGAGGGACTCTTTTCTTATTCTTCGGCTCTCCAGAATCCGGGTCTTCATGTCTCGACCGGGACTTGCGACTCTGCGGCGAGGATAGCGCGGAGTGGTTCTGTTCGAATGTGCGGATGGCGTCGATGTCGACGCGCCAGCCTTCGCTGATGTATAGGTCTCTCCATAGTCGAGTGTCAGAGATACGGCTACGCCAAGCACGGGATGCTAATGAGGCCGTCAAAAGGGTCTTGGGGTCAAGGTAGGAGAAGATCTCGGATGTGATTTCGGGCGGTAGCTTGAGAACAGGGTCCATGTGCAACAGAGGGGCGAGTCGATCGACGACTGAGGCAATAGTAGATGTTCGTAGGGTCCGGAGCAAGTTATAAGCGAATTCTGCACAGCCAAGAAGGTAACCCATCAGTCTCCATGGTCACAGCAAGGGCTTTCACCGGACGTGTTTCCAGTTCTGGGCCGCACGCCTAACTCACCAGCTTTGTCCGCTTCTCGGAGCGCAAGGAGCCAATCCGGAAGGGACATCGCATCGCCTGAAGACGGTTTCAAGCAATCATTGTCCGACTGGCTTTTTGTCTCGTCAGCATAACCTTCATCAAGCTTGAAGCCTGCTGGAGACAATGATGGGGCAGTGAAATCGGAGGAGCAACTGGGGTCCCGGAGCCGCATGAGACGAGGAATTGCAGCTTCCGCCGCAGCGGGCTCTTGCTCCATGTGAAAAATGTTTCGTCAGTTAAAAGTTGTGTGGTCGGATTATCGTCTCTATAATGGATCTTCGTCGTTCAGTATGAGCTTGGTTGGCATGGGTTAGGATGTAATCGCGTCGGCCACTGCCTGTCAATAGATAAAGCTAGGACATTCCCGTTGATCGTACAGTCAGGGGATATGATGATTGATCAGAACAGTGGATCATGCCAATCAAGACTGACCTTGAAGATCGATGGAATTATCTTCAATGGATCGGGCCTTTACAGTATTGGCGTGATGGCAGCCAGATGGCTTGGCCAGAGGGGAAGTTTGTGTCGATTATGTCAAGCTGAGAGCGGTATATCATGTCAGAATACACGCATATACGTGTATCCAATCCTATTGATTTGAAGGTCGAGTATTTTAGAATTGCAATAATAATCAAGTTTCTTGGAATTCTAGCTAAGTGATAGTCATTGCTTTCTAGTCGTTTTCCGTTTCTGGTAAGAGTTTGACCGTTCATCCTACAGCGAAAGAAGCACCGGGACTCCGGGAGGTGCTGTCTCTCTGTAAGGGACAATACAGTCATATCATGGATACCTGATGCCACACCCTACAGAGAGCTGTGACCGAACATTATGAACCCATTCGTTGAAGAGAACAATTCCTTCCTTACTTTCGAATAAATATCAAGACTTCGGAGATAACCAGAAAGATACTAGTTATCCAGCCCAATTCGAATCTGAGTGGGGGAAGTACCGTGCGGCATTTCTGGTATCAGATAGATAGATACAGCAGCAAGGACTCCCACCCTCCTTGACTCTTGAGGTCAAGAGACCAGATTCGTCATGGCTGCTTACTGTCTATCTACTACGAAAAGCTGTGGACAGAACCGGGAGAAGAATATGTATCATGCAAGTGCCCAGTCTCTCTCCCTTTCGCTGCACTAGACACTCCATCAGTTGATAGAGTTGAGAGCCGAAACACTGACTGACCGAGGTCTCCACTTCCCAGGCCCGCCGTCCAATTGAGCAATGAATATCAGAGTCTATTAGATTAGATCAAAGGCTCCATTGTTATTGATGTGTTTTGGATTCTGATGTTCTGAATCACCTGTCACTCGAGAGGTTGGGTAGATAGATAGATAGTCAGACGTAGGACCTCAGGACAATATGATGTAGTGTGACCTTGACTGCCAAGGAGCTGACAAAAGAGAACAGAAGGACATTTCTCAAATTTAAGCATACTATAAAATAAGTTGAATGCAGTAGGTATCAATCAAAATAGTTGGAAGAGATTCCGTCTCAAAGTTTATACCCCCCTGCCTCCTATGCAGTTCATACAATTACTATGTCTGCACCATATCATCGGGACCATATTCCCCTGTAAAGCCTGGGGGATTTGTAACAGAATCATTATGTTTCTTCTTTGTCCGTAGTTATAAGCTTTAGATGACCTCTTCTTCCTTCAGGATCCTCTCTCTTCACTTTTTTGTGATCTTATTATCACAAACTAAGAAAGACAGCTGATACTAGGTATTCAGAGTCTGCTTCTCCCCACCTCTCCACAGCTACTTTAAATACTCGGGTACTGCCTACAGTACCTACTGGTTCTATAACTAGATATAACTACATAGCACTAACGCGCGCTACCCTGCTTCAGTAACTAAGCAA